ACCTAAGAGCTGTTTCCCTAAGTTTAGAGGACATTGCTTTTGTGGACTACCTCCCTAAAATACAGAAAGAAACAGAAGGTGCTCAGCATGAGTGTGTGTGTGTTCGTCATCGGCTTCCCAGCGAAGCTGTATAATTCTTAAAGGCCCAGAAATGTGAATTCCTGCCGTGGAGCATGAGGAGACGCTCCCTCTCCATTTTAGGCTGGACTGCTCTCCATTCACTGTACTCAGATGCTCTCTGTGCAGGGAGGGAATGACCCCCAACCCCCATGTGCTGCACCCCATCCCACTCACTCCGGAGGAGGCCCCTGGGCCCACCGCGTGTTGGGTAGCAGTCAGTCAGGCCCCTCATGCTTCTCCGCTTCCTCTTTCCTCCCTAGATGAGAACGCCAATCTGGGCACGGTGATGAGGTACGAGGAGATCGGTAAGTGGCCGGAAAAGCGGGGACACTTGGGGCTTCCTGCCTCTACCGGGGGCAGAGGGGGAAAGGGGAGAGGCTTGGAGCCCCTGGGTTGTGTTTGCAACAGGGTCTACTCTCAGAACGATGGCTTCCAAACTAGAGCAGATTCTCAGTTATCTCCCACCTGGCCAGTTCCCAGGAAGTAGGACTGGCTGGCTTGGCAACGTTCCCTTCGGAGCCTCCCCTCTCTCATCCAAAACACGTGGAAGTTAAGCTTCCGCGGCAGCCAGAGAGACCTGACTTTGGCCCATGACACTGAGTGAGGCAGAGGAGCTCCCCTGTCTTCCTTTTTTTTTTTTTTTTAAGATTTTATTTATTTGACAGAGAGAGACACAGCGAGAGAGGGAACACAAGCAGGGGGAGTGGGAGAGGGAGAAGCAGGCTTCCCGAGGAGCAGGGAGCCCAATGTAGGACTCGATCCCAGGACCCTGGGACCATGACCTGAGCTGAAGGCAGATGCTTAACGACTGAGCCACCTGGGCCCCCTCCCCTGTCTTCCTTATTTTCTTCCTTATTTCCGGGCTCGGAGGGCAAGGAGGAGAGAGGGGCTGAGAGCCACCTGCACAGCCTCCCGGCAGCCGTGGGCGGGGTCTAAGGCACCCACTGTCTGTGTGAGCATGCGCAGGCCCAAGGCCAGAGCAGGTGGACGGTGCCGGATGGGAAGGAGCTGACCCACCCGTGGAAATGAGCGGAGTCCCGCGGAACCCTGGGGAGCAAACCAGAAAACTGAGTTCTTCCCGAGGTTCCAGAGCGGGTGAGAGACACAAGTGTGTGAAGCTGGGGAAAGAACAGACAGCTGTCAGAATGGAGCTGGAGTTGACCCCGTACCAGGTGACAAGGAGGGTCAGTGACAACTGGAATGCTTGGAGCTCTAGCATGAGGGGCAGCCTGGTGTCTAGCAGACACGCCTAATCCACAATCCCAGCTGCAGAAATATTCCAGGCCATCCGTTTCCTGCTGTGCCTCCGTGGAGGGCTGGTGGGCAGGTGTGCGTGCTGGGATCCTGGGAGCGGAGGACTGTACCCGGAGCCTCATGCTCTCTCCCAGGAGGCCAGGCAGAGGTGACATCACTTCAGGGAGTGTCTCTGGGTCCTGTCCTGTGATCTGAGGAGCCATGGTGTACCTGAGTTGGCGCCTACTGTTTTGTTAGAACCCTTTCTACGACTTTCAGGAAGTATGCAAACTGGTTGTCAAATGCAGCCAATACGAACCAACAGTTAAGTACATTGTATTAACAACAGTACACTGTATTAACAAAGATCCTAAGTCCTCCAAACTCCTCACTTCTGAATTATGTTCCTGTATTTTATTTTATTTAGAGATTTTATTTTATTTATTTGAGAGAGAGAGAGAGAGTGAGAGAGAGAGCACAAGAGGGGGTAGGGTCTGAGGGAGAAGCAGACTCCCTGCAGAGCAGGGAGCCCGATGCGGGACTCTATCCTGGAACTCCAGGATCAGGACCTGAGCGGAAGACAGTCGCTTAACCAACTGAGCCACCCAGGCGCCCTGTTCCTGTATTTTAATGTCCTTTATTTACCCGCCCTTCACCATCTTAAGGCCACAAAAAGCAGCAACGTGGCTTCCTGGTTGCTCCCCCAAAACAAGGCAGAAGCATTCGGCTCCAGGTTCCCCAGCTCCCAAACACGCCAAGGGCGAGGAAGAGCAAGCCCTGAACTCCCACGTCCTGCAGTTCCGCACCTGGCCCGGAACGGCGCTCCCTGGGAGGTCTTCTTGAGCAGCCCAGCTCAGAGCAGTCTTTAGACTTGCAACTGTATTCAATGTCGATTTCTCCATTTCTTGCGTTCCTTGTTCCAGAAAGCATTTATTGTGGCAAGCTTCAGCCATGACCTTGTTTACGTTCCCGGCTGGTGGGCCAGTGTGTGAGGCCACCTGCCGGGAGCGCCTCCGCCCACAGAAGGGCAGGCTGATGAGGGTTTGCACAGTTTGCTGCCAGGCCTGCACCCTCAAGTTCCTCATCTCTCCGCTGCCTGGTGAGGGGCAGGGCTAGCCTGATCCATTCTTACTCTTCTTTCCAAGTAAGGAAAGCTGGGCGGCCACAGCTGTCAGGATCGATTCGTGGCCTGGTGTGGTCCAGCTGGCCGTGGCCTCAGGGGGCAGTGGGAGCTGGAAAGGGCCCCGGGGCCGGAGCTTCACAGAGCCAGGATTCCTGGGCGGGGAGTGTGGTGGGACAGCGCTAGTTCTGCCTCCTGGCTCTGGATCCCTGGGTGGGGGTGAACCTGGGAAGGAGGTGGAGCGCAGAGCAGGTGGAAGGAAGCTGCCTTGCTTCCAGACTGTGTGCCGGGAGGCCCTCTGGCTCACGAGTCCCCTTCTTGAAATCCCCTTGCACCTCGCGAGAAGGAAAAAGCCATGTTCTCCTAGCTCAGCTAGCACCTATGGCTCCGTTTCCATGTTCTTAAGCCACTGTCTGCTCCTGGGGGGTGCCCCAGACAGAAGGCTTTGCGGGCGGGAAATGCTAGCTCTATTCTCCAGCAACAAACCACGAGAGATCGCTGCTGCCCTCCAGCGGCCATGCGTGGGATCCCAAGCTCCGCTAGGGCCTCTGGTCCGTGACAAATGCATCTGTTCTGGTCCCGCAAGAAAGGGTGGAGACCTCACTTTTTAACTTTCTGTGCTTTGGCTTTAAAAAAAAAACCAACATTGTACTCGAGTGGGAAAGGGAGTTCCTGGCTTGGGAATAGAAAAGAGATTTATTTTTATGGCTGTAGAGCAAGCTTTCTCAACTGTGGACCATTGACATTTGGAAATAAGCAATTCTGTGTCGTGGGGGCTGCCGTGTATGTGCCTTGCAGGATGTTCGCCAGCATTCCTGCCCTCCACGCCCCTCTCCCTGGTCTTGACAACCAGAAATGTCTGCAGGCATTGTCAAATTCAGGAGGCAAAATGGCCCCCCACTGAGAGCCACTGACACAGAGAAAGCCAGGGGCCGGCACATCCTCTGGACAATGCCACCTGACTGAAATTTTAGGCGATCAGAGTTACCATACAGAATTACAGGCAATCTCTTTCCACAGAAAGAGAACTCTCGAGCCCTGGGCGGTTCCAAGTGGGGTGGGGGACAGTAGGATCCCAGGAATGAGCCTAGTGTGGCTCCTCTCAGCCATACGAAGACTGGTTCATCTCCACAGATGGGGAGTTGGGCCAGAAGTCCCACGGCATAACATGGAAGGAGGGAGACACCGCTCCCTCCAGGACCCTGGGCTGCAAAAGCAAAGGCCATAAGGGCCAGCAGAGCCATCCCAGACTGCCCAGAAGGCTCTTAGACCACTTGCCTGCACGGCCTCTGTGGGCAGCTTGTCTGTGGTTCACTTACACATTACATTCTGAGCGCCTACCATGTGCAGGTCATTCTGCCAGGCCTGGGGGATAGAAAGATAAATTAAGGTCCCTGCCCCTAAGCAGATCTGTGGGCTACAGGATGGCATGGAGGAGAGAGGAGGCTGCAGGAGTATTTAGGAACAAAGACCACAGCGCTCCACGGGGCTCCCTGAGGGCGGGATGCGGGGTTGGGGGGGTGGGGGGTGGAATGAGATACTGACACTGTTGTCAGCCCAGCGGCCTTTCTTTTCCGTACCATCTGGAGATTCCCACAGCAGGGACAAGGTCACCATCTGTAAGTCCTTGTCAGGTCCCCGAGCGAGCTGTCACGTCTCAGGCAGGCAGACCTAACCGCCATCTCTCAGCCTCGGTGCAGGGTGGCGGTGGTCTCTGGAAGGCTCGGAGCTGGGCTGTCTCTCTCACCGTTTCGGACAAGATGCCCACAGCCTCTTGCCGGAGGGCCCAGGATGCCTGGGAACCAAACACTCCACACTGAGTCACACCCCGGCAGGGGTCTCTCCCCACGTGGTCCTGAGAATCCCAGAATCCTTTGTTCCCCCATTGCTCTGTTTTAGTAAGTCAGTCACTTCGCTGCCTGTCTGGAGGGGCCTCGCTGGGATGATGCAGAGTGGGCTGGAAGGGAAGGAAAACAACGGACTAGCAGGAAGTGCACCTGGGATGGGGGTGGGGTGGGCTCGGCCTTGCTCTCAAGCTCTTTGCTGAGGACGGTGGCCCCGGAAAGAGAGGACATCCGATTAACTCAGCTACTGCATGGGGACACTCGATGTCCCCCCAGACCCCCCAGCATTCCGCATTTGTGATGAAAGACGAAGCCTGGATAATGGACAGCAGCAGGGGGACCAAACTCTGTTGGCACTTGAGTTTGATACGGAGAAGAGAGAGCCCCTCAGACTTTAGACAAGTCACATAGCCGGCTCTGTCTCTCGGAGGATGCCCAGCCATCCTGGTTTAGCATGGAAGGACCCATGTCCCCAGAAACCCCTCGGTACCAGGCAAACCAAGACCCTCCCTGAATGAGTAATTCCTCACACAGGGGACAAGAGTGGTCTGTAAATGAGCCGGGCAGGCAAAGATGTCTACACCGCACACACCATGGTGCAGGGGAGCCTGGAGGACATGGGTGTTGGAGCCCCAGGAATCGGAGACTTCTGTGTTTATCAGCGGCGAGGCTGAGAGTTGCATGTTTTCCAGGTCTCCACTCATCCCTGTGCCAACTTTGTTCCCTCTCCCCAGAGCTGCGGATCTTGCTGCTGTGTGGCAGTGACCTGCTGGAATCCTTCTGCATCCCTGGGCTCTGGAATGAGGCGGATGTGAGTAGCAAGGGCCCTACAGCACCACGCACAGCTGCCATGGGGAGGATGGGGAGGGGGTGCCTGGTTTCGGCCCCTGCTCTTCCCTCCCCCCACTGCCTCCCTCCCCAACCCGAGGGTCTCATCTCCTGTGAGCTTCCAGGAGGACAATCCATTCTCGTCACTGTGGAAGAAAATGCTCACCTATCCCAAGCTTTAGCTCTGACTGCATTTTTACACTCACTCCTACTCGGGCTTGCTCCTGTAAAGCCCCTGGGGAAAACAATCGGAGTCATAGAATACCTTCTCCAATACCTTCTCCAAGTAGTACCCGGAGTGTATGTGTGTGGCAGAGGCAGGAGGTGGGGGAGGGAGGGATTTTAAAAAAAGCCTTGGCCCTTTTGAGATTATGTGTGTTTTGTTTTCCTTTGATTCCTTTTGAAGAGGTGGTAAATACCACCCTAGAATTCCCTCAACAAGAAAAAAGGGGTCAGGAGGGGAGGCATTCATGGCAAAAGGTCAGTAGAATCCTTCTAGCAATTGACTGGGGATAGAGGGAAACAGGAAGTTAAACTTATACCACTTAGAAGCTCAATGGACATCTTTTGTTGCCAGATCTGATGGTGATGTCTTAAACCAGCTCATTCATAAGTTACTCACTCTTGGTCTGTACATTCATTCTTGCTCTTTCATTAATTCATTCATTGGATAACCTGAGCTATTGCTAGTTCCCAATTCCATAGCCCCCCC